CCCCCCCCCCCCCCCCCCCCCCCCCCCCCCCCCCCCACTTGGCGTAGTAGGGTTCGGCGCCTGCTGAAAATTTTTGGGTATTTTAGAGGGTGAACGGTGCCATTTGGTACGGTTAAGAACTATGAATCGGCTAGAGTCAAAATTTTATTTTCAAGAGAGGATGCCTCTGCCTCCAACCCCCCCCCCCCGCCCTCCCCCTCTAAATCCGCCACTTCTGAGTGTCGCCACCTGCTGGTAAGTAACAGTAAGTGTCGCCACCTGACGGAAAGTGGCTGTTCAGGAGTTGGTTTTACAAGAGGTCTATCATGTGAAAAGGAACTTATCTTGGCCCTTCGGCTCTTCGTGGCCTTAGGCTGCGGACATTAAAAAAACGATTATTTTTACCTTTATAGTGATGCAGACTTTTCTCCCATGCAGACTGTCAAAGTCTCTAATGGTCGAGTCGCAAGAACGCTAACCCTGCGATGTTCTTAACGATGAACTTTTTATTTTATAGAAATGCATTCATTTTCGGCCAGAGAAGGAAAATCAGCCTGGTTGCTGACAGTGTGCGTTGTTTATATTACCGCCGCCAAGGAGATTATGTTTTCACCCCTGTTTGTCTGTCTTTCTGTCTGTCTGTTTGTTTGTTTGTCATCAACCTAACTCAAAAAGTTATGGACCGATTTTGATGAAATTTTCAGGGTATGTGGGAAATGGGTAAATTTAAAAGTGATTAGTTTTGGGTGGTGATCCGGATCAATAATCAATCAATAATCAATAATAATAATCAAAAATTGCTGCCTTGACGGAGGTTTGTGCTCTCGGAGTGCTTTTCGAGTTGGTCCACTGTTTCTTCTTGAAGTAGCAAAAAACAAACAGTTTGGATCCTCTTGTTTCTGCAACGAAATGCATGACAACGGATCTGAGGTTTAAAAGCGACAGAATGAAATGGTTTTCGCAAAATATATAAACAATTAAAAGATTCATGGCTGTATAAAACAACAAAACTGAACCTTTTGTTTAAAATAAATCATACAAATGTCATCAAAATGTGAAAAATGTCTATTTTATTTCTTCTCACCAGGGGCGCTGCAGTCAGCTTCTTTTGTTTACAATAGTGCAAAGCATTGTGGGATACCGCAACTCGCGATTCCTAGTGACGCTAGTGTTGAGACTTGTATCTACAATTCAAGTTGATTATTTGCCAATATCTTTGCTAAAGGTAGGCGTTATTAAAGCATATTTATATTTCTAAAGTACAGCTTCTTCTCTGTACGAAAGATTGAGGCTTAAAAATACCGAAAAATCATGAAAATGTTTAATAGTAGGAAGTCGAAATCTTCCGTCGTCATTCAGCTGGGCCAGTGTGTGACTTTTTCTTTCTTTTTTTCTTCTCTCGAATTTACAGGATTTAAACTAAGTAATAATCATTTTTGTCTCACTCAAAGTAATACATATGTAATATCAGTCAATTATTGTAACGCTAAAACGGAACAAATTGCCTGGGCAGCGTGAAAAGTAGTCGATTTCTGTTCGAAGACGAGCGTTTTTGGACCTAGGTATAAATAATGAATTATTGAGTACGTTGAGCCAAATTGTATGAAAATGTAAAGATTTAATGGTACTGTACGATGTATTCTAAGGCGATTGTTAGAAAACATATTCTGTGGTAATATAGAACACTTGGCTCTTTCTTCACACAGATTCTTGTAAGAAGGCAACAATGCCCGAGCCAGGTAGAGATCACGACCGTCGCCATAGGCGACATGCGTCCAAAAAGGACGAAATTTGGACTTTGTAAGTTGACAATAGAGACATTTTAAACTAACGATTCACAACTTTGTTATTGGTGAAGAGATATGCAATTCTGTTTTCAGTTTCATACATAAGGTACCTGAACTATCAAGTGTTTACGTGTACATATACTACATTGTTTGTTAA